GCGACCAATCAGAGCACAGTGGGCTCAGGGGGGGGGGGGCGTTTAGGACAGAGAGTGAATACACATGCTATACTACGGAGCCCCCTAGGGGACATGGAGATGAGAAAAAAAATTATTTGAAAAAATAAAAATAAAAATAAGTTTTGCGCGATCTCGCAAAACCTTTCATTTAGCTCAATGTACTTCCTGGTCAGTTCGGCTGCTACGGCAACACAGAAACCACAACAATGGAGCGGTTCATCGATTTTACTTTGAGCTTGGCCTTAAATATAAAGATATAACATCAGTGCTTGGCAAGAGGCACGGGTTTCACACATAGACTGTATATATAAAGGGTTTCACATAAGTGAAGACACCTCAAGAGAACACTGAGAGCGAGGGGACATGCACGTCCCTCTGAGCTGAGTTATTGACAGATTCGAATTTCGCGGATCAATAACTCATGAACATAAGGTTTTAAAAATACAAACAACAAGACTTTACAATCAGAGCAAGGTAAACAACGAGCTACAGAGCCGTTTTTATCAGAACAGTTCGATACGCGCCGTCATCCGAGCTAAACATCAAGAATTGGTCACAATCTGCGGCTGGAGGAGGGAGAGGAGTGCTTAGGGACCGTCTACAAACTGCAACGGGGTTTTGCGAGATCTCGCAAAACTTTTTCTATTTTTTTCTATTTTTCTTCTCCATGTCCCCTAGGGGGCTCCGTACTATACAGAGATGCTGTATGAGAAACCAATGTGAGTTTGGAACATTGCACAATATAGAATCTATTCTAGTAGACCTCAATTATGATCAGTAGAAATGGTCATAACATGGGACCTTTAAGCATTATGACTGGATATGAAAGGGTTTTTTGGAAACGTGCAAATATTGCAATTGACCATTTCAAGAAGCCAATAAATGGAGGAGGGATGCTGAGTTTGAAAGGTCTGAAAAGGCGTTCACTTCTGGTGAAAAAAAATCACACTTTGAAGCTGCTTACAAACAGCAATACTCATTTCCATAAGACATGTAAAAAGCTCAGTTGAAATATTGTCTTTTTCTGATTTAAGAGCAAAAACTGTAATCTTTTAGTGCATTTAAACGGTCCACAACACATTGTCCTGAGGGGATGCAGAGGAAAACACTGGATACAATCAACATGTTAGCATCCGAGCTAACGGCGTACCTGTTGAAGTTCTCTTGAACCAGGTTTTCATTCATATAATGCAGCTCCTGCTCCAGGTAGCGCATCAGAGGGTCTGCAGCCTGAAGAAAGGAAGGGGTTTGATATCAGACGAACTTAAAAGACATCTGTGTATTTGTTATAATGTTAAAGTCACCTACATCCTCCGTGGACTTGGAGGGAATCCTCTTCCTGGTGGACATGTTTCGGACATGCGTCTCAATATCTGTGTTTAACTGGAGAACCAGATGGAGAGGTGGGGTTAAAAGCTTCCCTACGTTTTCAGAATCAGAATCAGAATCCTTTATTCGTCCCACAGAGGGAGCATTTACATTTGTTACAGCAGAAAAGAGCCAAAGAAAGCTTAATGCTAACTAAAGCATGCATACAAAAGTATTAAAGATACAACAAAAATACACAAGATTACACAATTTACAAAATACACATCCTGTAACAATTCAGAAGATTTAGCAGCCAGGTGTATACATGTAGGTCCAGTTATTAACGGCATATATATATATATACAGAGGTGGGAAGTATTGGAGTACAAATACTTGGTTACTGTACTTAAGTACATTTTTCTGGTATCAGTACTTTACTCCACTACTTATTTTTCTGACTACTTTTCACTTTCTACTTCTCACATGTTGAACTCAAATACCTGTACTTTCTACTTCTTACATGTTGAACTCAAATACCTGTACTTTCTACTTCTTACATGTTGAACACAAATACCTGTACTTTCTACTTCTTACATGTTGAACTCAAAGTTTAGTCAGTACTTTTACTTTTATCATAGTATTTTTAAACATGAGTATCTGTACTTCTACTTGAGTAAAGTGTGTACTTTTGCCATCTTTGTATATATATATATATTGCACATAATTATTACAAAAAAGTTGTTGTAGATGTAAGGATGTTCCTGATGCTTCACCTGCTTCCCCAGAGTGTCTAAAGCGGACCGTATCTCTCGCCCCAGGATGCTCTTGGCTTGCTGCAGCTGGGCGGGCAGCGTGTTGTGAAACTGGTTCTCTCCGATCACATGCTGGGTTCGATCCCGAAGCCCGGCCCAGTTCAGCTGCGTGGGAAGACGGGTCAGAACCGAGCGTAGGTGCTCAAGGTCGTTCACCACCACACACAACTGGGAGGAGGATGTTAGCATTTAAATAAACGTTAGGTCAAAGTATCGGATAAACAGGAGATCATTAGCATTGACTTAAAGGAGCCTAATAGCTTGACAGTTGAATTAGATTGAAATAACATTGGATATGGTTAACTAAATGTTGGGGGTGGTTAAAATAATAAGCATTAGTTCAAAGAAAACAGCTAAAATAGTAACATTTGCCCAAATAACTTTTAAAGTCAGCATTAATTAGACATAACGGATGAGCAGTGGAAAAAGTGGATAAAAGGATAAAAAGATCAAATGAATGGCTAAACAGTGGGGAAAGAAGCTAAAAAGTGAAGAATTAGAGGCCTAAAGAATAAACGGGTACAAATAAATCAGCTAAAAGTAACAGATAAACAGGTTAACAATAGTTTGGGGAATTGCAACATTAGACGTTTTGCGTTGCAGGTGAACAGGAACAATACTTAGCATGAGTTAAAAAATGTAAGCTGATATACTTGGCTAAAAGTGACCTATTGGTTAAACATTTGAATAATTAAAGTTTGCTAAAAATGATGAATGAAGGGTATAAGCTAAAGCTAATGGGAAAAAGTGGAATAATCTGCTAAAAGTAACGAATAAACCAGAGAAACAATTAGCTTTAAAGTAAAAGATAACCAGTTGAAATTAGCTACAAGTATTATATAAACAGGGGGAAATGATTAGCTAGAGTTGGACGGTTTTCAAACTGTTGTTTTGTTGTTGTTTGCTAAATCTAAGGCGGTCTCCTCACCATGTTGATGGCGCTGCCGTGGTCTGAGTTCTCCGACAGCTCCCTGACTCTCTCCTTCAGTAAGTTGCAGTAATTCACCACGATCTTACACACATCCTGAAAACACACAAACAAACATTTATTATCTTCCATAACTTCTCTCCTGTCAGGCTAGTGGACAAACAGAGCCAAACGATAGCATTAGGTACGCCTCGTTTGCATTCCCGTAACACTTCAGAGAACTTGCAATATAAAAGATGAATGTGTTAATGCAGTGATATCAAAAAATAAAAAGCTAAATTGGTGTTAAAATCTGCTATAAGTAAGTAATGGATAAACAGGTTGAATAACAAGAGTAAGCAGCTAAACTAGCCTTATGGATAAAGAGTTTGAATAATTGGCGTTAGATAAACGTTGTATGTACAGTGATAATTGTTTTGACTGTCACGGATAAACAATGGTAGCAGTTCATATTCTTCAGTTACGGTACGTCCACACGGCAGCGTGTGTTGAAGCTTGCCGGCGGGGGGGGCTGAAACTCGACCAACAACCAATCACATTAATCTCCCGCCCCGGACACACAAGCACGCGGTTTGATTGGCTGGCGCTTCCGTCGAAGCTTGAAAAGTTGAACTTTTCTCAACTTTCGAAGCGAGCAACGGAGGCAAAGCGACGCGACGGACCCACAATGCAGTTCGGCAAAGCGCAACATCACCCCATTCAAAGTGAATGGGAAGCGTCTCCGTTGAAGCAACGCACGCCGCTGTGTGGACGGGCCGTTAGGGTTAGGGTAGTACCTCAGTGATTTTGACCATGAGCATGAAGGCCTCCTCGGGGTCGGGCCAGGACAGTTTCTCCCACAGCTGGCAGATCGGCTGGATTAAAGCCACCAGATCCACGGCAGAGGAGCTGTGTTTAACGGGAACCGATCCAGACTGCAGGGGCTGGAGCTGAGAGGGATCCACTATTATGTGCTAGTCTCTCTTGTCCAAGTTGGTGGTGATCGTTTGCAGTCCGTACAGCATAGCTACAGACTTGGTTGAAGTGGGGTTTCATTCGAAGTGACACCCTCTCGAACGGTGCGCATTACTTCGTGTTGACTTTATTTTTTTTTACTATTACTGTATTTTGTTGTTTGATACGTAATTTCCAGCTTAGGATTAAAAACATTCTGTATATAATTTGTATTTCCTTTGAGTTCTATATTATTGTTTTGTACATATGTTATACTTCAATCTTAATTAACTGTAGTTTTATTGTTGTCTAGTGTGTATACATCGGAGTCTGTGTCTGATGTTTCTTTTGAGACAAAGTCCGATCAATGTAATCTATACTTAGTCTGTTCTTTATTCTTCTTTGTATGTGGTGGTGTCCTTGTGTTTATCTATCTTTGTTGTATAATCATAGACAATCCCTAACCGATACTAGCTGTGGCGTGAGGAATTGAGGTAGTTTGAGCCACTATAAAACAGGACTTATCAACTAATTGAGGTGTCGTACAAGGGCAGGGGAAAACTGGGGTCAACCCTTGTATTGGGTCTGTTGTGTGAGGGGAGGACGGAGGAACTTGTATTTATTACTGGGAAGAACAGAGTCCCCCTCAAGTAAAAAAACTCAACTGTTTGAAGGTCCTTCAAAAGTCTCTCCGCTACGGCATGACCCGACTTGGTGCGAAAGTCGTGGTGAGTCCTGGCCGACCTCTCCCGGCACGTCCACCTGGTCCATTGAGTTGAAGGAAATGAGTCATCTGTCATGTCTATGAGCACAAAATTTTTATGAGACCACTTTCATACTTCATGACTGATTTTGAAAGGAAATGAGTTCAGTTTCATTTCCGAAACTCTACATAGAAGTCATTTTTTCATCGGTATTGATCGTCGACAAATATTTCTCATGGACTGGAGGGAAAGATATAATTATCTTGTCATTACAGGTAACATCGATTACTTACAAAGGTACGACTTGTTGCCGTTGTACCTGTTGCAAAAGGTAACCAAGGGAGAAGAAATCTCTTCTGGTCCTTTACTAACCTATGTGCCTAGCACCAAGTTTAGTAATCCGTGCGGTTACTGAGATTTATTATTACTAAGTGCGGTGGTTGTGTGTAGAGTCTGATTTCCTTGGTCGGCAAAACCTGTACTTCTTCACTTACATGTCATAAACTCAAGTTGGCATTCTTCATCTTCTGTCCATAAACCAAGTGTACATTCTTCATCTTTCATGTCCAATAAACACAACGTTGTACCATTCTCATCTTTCATGTCCATAACTCAAGTTGTACATTCTTCATCTTTCATGTCCATAAACACAAGTTGTACATTCTTCATCTTTCATGTCCATAAACTCAAGTTGTACATTCTTCATCTTCATGTCCATAAACACAAGTTGTACACTCTCATCTTTCATGTCCATAAACCACAAGTTGTACATTCTTCATCTTTCATGTCAATAAACACAAGTTGTACATTCTTCATCTTTCATGTCTATAAACCTCAAGTTGTACATTCCTTCATCTTTCATGTCTATAACTCAAGTTGTACATTCTTCATCTTTCATGTCCATAAACTCAAGTTGTACATTCTTCATCTTTCATGTCCATAAACCCAAGTTTTACATTCTTCAGTTTCATTTTTCAAACAGTCTTTTCTTCACCACCTCATTTCATGACATCATGACATTATGCATCATAAACATGAGTGATGAAGGGTGGAGACACAAGACTACGAAATTATACTAGAGGAAGTCTGCTATTACTACACG